TATATATATAATATATATATATATATACACAATACCTCAAACTGATGCAATAAGTTGAGATAGCTATATTTGTTTCATTCTAATTCAGAATTCTTCGAAAAGAACAGACCTCTTTTATATAAGCAACACTGTATGAGTTGCAGAACGTATTAACATGAAAAATGTAGTAGTGAATCTATGCAATAAATTATAGCTTTCGAAATCATTTATATTACATGTATTTTTAAGTAAATTGTACTAATATAATTCACAATTATATAATTATTATTATATATCAATTCCTTATACCTCCAATTTCTCTTAATTCTACAAAAGACATAGAAAGCTATGTAAAGTTGTAGACTCAAAAATAAATTAATTTTTTAAATTTTTGTCATCTTAAATATACGTTATCATATTTTTCAAAGAAATCAGAAAGAACAGAGTATTCAAATAATTAGAATAAATATTCTTTTATCTCTAAAGACTGTAAAGTCATTAAACTCGTTAGAAGTTTCTTGACAAGAAACAATGGATGAAAAATAAAAAGTGGAGAAAAATTTAAAGATAGAACGTTTATTTATTTTTTCCGCATGTATAAAGCTGTTTATCGGTTGGATTTGGCAACGCGCTCCAATTCATCCTTTTTCTTGATTGCGTATGAATTCGACGAACCCTTAGCAGCGTTAATAAGTTCGTCGGCTAAACACTCGCCGATTGTTTTAATATTGCGGAATGCAGCTTCTCGCGCGCCAGTACATAACAACCAGATAGCTTGATTAACACGACGTAACGGGGATACGTCCACGGCCTGTCGCCTTACAGTACCAGCGCGTCCAATACGCGTCGAATCTTCTCTTGGACCAGAATTGATAATAGCTGTGACAAGAACCTAAAATATTCACAAACAAGTGTAATCATTTATTTATATATTTTTTATAATCTGTTATATAAATTTTTTTATTTATATAATTTTTTTATTTATATAACAGGTTATATATTCATTTTGTCATACATATTTATATCATGCAAAATTGTATTACATAAATAAATAAAATGTGGTTCACATAAGTGGTAACATATTATGAATGTGTTTTATTTAAATAATAATCTCAAATTAAGTGCTTTAAGATATTCTCAATGTATAATTTTATTCATATAGATGCAAAAATTAAATACAAACTTTAAATAGCAAACTCACCTGTAGAGGGTTCTCCCCAGTAAGAAGATGAATGATTTCAAAGGCGTGTTTAACAATTCGCACAGCCATTAATTTCTTTCCATTGTTTCTGCCGTGCATCATGAGAGAGTTTGTAAGACGTTCCACAATAGGGCACTGAGCTTTCCTGAAACGCTTTGCCGCATAACGTCCTGCTGAATGTGGAAGGTACTTAGCATTTTTCTCTTTAACTGCGATATAATCCTGCAGAGACATATC